CGTTGTTGTCGACGTCGACTACGATTATTTTGACGTCTTCCTGGGGCTTGTTTGCAGTTTCCGTCTGGGTCACGGTCTTGGTCTCCGTCACGGTTGTTTTCTTGTCCACTGTTTCCTTCTGCTCGATGTCGACGGTCTCGACCATCTCAGAGACGACGGACGCTTCCTTCTTCAACTCCTCTAGCTTTTCTTCCTTTACCTCAACCACTTCGACTTTCTCCTCGTACGAGTTTGAAGGCTGTGGCAGCTCGGGGATGTAGGACTGCTCCTCAAGGACCTCCTCCTCCTCCTCCTGGTCGTCACCGAGGAAGTCTTCCTCCTCCTGCGTCTTGGGGAAGGACTCCTCGTACGTCTTGACGTTGATGACGGTCTCGCCGTTGTTGCTGACGATGGTCTTGCTCTCCTCTGTTTCGCTCTTTACCACGACGGTCTCCTTGATGGTCTTCTCGACGGCGGCCGCAGTGTTGTCGAAGGTCTCCACCTGCAGCGGGCTAGTCTCGGGCTGCAGCTTGATGGCCTCCACGACCTGGATGGTGTGAGTTTCATCTGCCTCCTCGATCGTCTTCTCCTCGATGCTGGCCGACGATGACGCCTTGCCGGTGGTGTCCGCGTCAATCTCGCCACCCTGCTCGGAGGCCTCGGAGATGTTGAGAATGTTGACCGTCTTCTTCTGCTGCTCGGCGGCGCACTGCTGCTGCTGCCCTTGCTCCTCTTCGGCCTGCGTCAGGTCGCCCAGGGTGACCTCCACGACGATGTCGGAGGCCTTGCCGGCGGCGAGGGAGGACGGCCCCTGGCGCATGTTGACCTCCACGTTGCCGCAGCTGCACTCGTTCTGGGCGGCCTGCTCGTACTCGTTGGCCAGCGACACGAGGTGGTTGCTGAGCTCGGGCGGGTAGACCTGCGCCTCCTGCTGCGCCGCGGCCTGCACGGAGTACTGCATCTGGGGCGCGGGGACGTAGTGCGGGTAGTGCACCGGGTACATCTGCAACGAGAGATTCGTCAACGTTCCTGCATTCTAGACTTTACTTTCACCGTACTACACAGTACGGACTGGTATTGTTGTACTTCGAAGGCTTACCGAGGGCTGTGCGCTGGGGATGGGCACGGAGTGTGGGTGGTGGTGGTAGTAGTAGTAGGGGTGGGGGTAGACGCCGCCATAGTGAGGCACCGTCGCAGCCGGTCGCGGCCGGTACAGCGCAGCAGAGGGCGGGGACTGCGCCGACGTCGCGCTGCTCGGGGCGGCGCCGGTCTTCTTCAGGAGGATGTCGCCGACCTGCTTGAAGGCGTTGCCCGTCTTTCGGAGCAGCTGCAGCACCTCGGGACTGTTCTCGGCCGCCGCGTGGCTGCACGGCCACGTCCGGCTGCTGGGCACGGCGTGCGCCTGGAATAGGAAAGAAACGAAAACAACACGTCAATAATGTGCAGGGCCTTGAAGACGGGGTGGGGGATGCAGGCCAAGCAGCCAGCAGCAGCGGTGACGACGTTGGCGCCCAAATGGGTCACCCACTCTCGTCTCGTCAACTTTACGCTTAACATTGCACTTTTCCTCCCTGGCGGCCGGCCTGACCCACTACCCACAATGCAACGACTCCCCGAACGGCGCGAAAAGACACGAAGGGAGGACGCTTAACTGGAAATGCCTTGGTCACTGCATAGGTCGTTACATTTTAAACCGATCACGGCACAAAGAACACACTTTTGAGCGAAAAGGAATCAATATTTAACAGACGTTTGTGTCGCAAATCGCAAGTTAAAAGTGAATTTATAAGGATAGAGTTTACTCAAACATGCCCGTAATGCCCCCAGAAAAATAAACGCGAATTGCTGGGCTGACGTAACTCGCGTTTCGCTTTAAACTTCTGATTAGCACGATGTAAACTAGTTTTGGCGGGTAGTTTCAGTCGAAGACCGGCAAAGTGCGATCACACTGTGGTCACGACGCGGCACTGAACGTCTCAAGCGGCAGAAACCATCGCGTCATCAGAGAGGGGAGGTCTCCCAGGAGGAGAAGTAGGCCTCCTGCGGCATTCGGACCGGCGTCATCATTCCTCTTCACACAATGGACCGCAGCGGCTTCGGGCGGCCATCAGCACATTTCAGGACTCACCTCGGCGCAGGCCACGAGCACGGTGACGAGCACGGCCGCGACGAGGCCGCGGGCAGCACTCTGCCGCCACATGGTCGACGAGGAGGTCGTCGTCGCGCTGTCCTCGGAGGGTAGAGAGAGAAGCACTCAAACACCGGCGCCTGGAGCCTGGAGCAGCACTCAGCACTGCCGGTCGTGTTGTGAGGGAGGAGCTTCGTGCCGAGTCCTGCTCGCCGAGCTTGTTGCTGCACAAGTGTTTGGCGCGCCAATGAGCTAGGTCGGGCGCGGCGCGGGCACCTGGTGGGTGAAGCGTCCCACGCGGCCCGCGCGGCGTCGGCGCCCTCCCTCCCCCCGCCGCCCCTCCGGCCCGCCACCGGCCGGCAGGGTGTTGCGACACGCGGGACGCTGGGCGCCCGCGCGCGCCCCGTCCCACCCCACAACGCAGAGGGGCGAGCGCCCCCCGTGCTCACCCGCTCCCTCCCCCCCCTCAATCTGCCCATCCGTCCGTCCTCCTTATTGCTCTTGGGGCTCACAGAGGCAGAACGGGGAGCAGGCACGTCCCGCCACCCGACGGACACCCATCAGTGTTGTTGAGGAGGGTTCCGGTTTAACGACCCTCTGTTGGTACCGTCTAGAAAGTACGTCCCCCTTTTCTTCTTCCCTGGAGTCATTCGGCAAATTACGCGAGCTTGGCGCCTGCGAGACTCGGGGTAGGCCAGCCCGCACGACACGGATGCACTGCATGCGAGATGTTGCCTACCTACCAGGCGCTTTCCTTGAGGCTGAATAGAGTGTGGACTTGGCAGGTCCGTTACGCCGAATGGTGGGCGTATTTTCTGGAGAGATGATGTGAAACGACGAGTTTGATTGACGAGTAGATTTGCTCCGCCCCGAGGGGGAAATCACTTGCGAAATAGTTCGAACACCTTCCCCCGAAATGGTCTGAAATAGAGGCGAAATAAAGGCGAAATAGAGCGAAATAGACCCGAAATAGGAGCGAAATAGTCGGTGAAATAGTAGCGAAATACCCCTATAATACTCCGAAATATCGCGAAATATCCTGAAAAAATCCGAAATAGGCGAGAAATGATGGAAATGGCAGGAGTAATAGCACGAAATAGCCCGTACGTTATGAACCCAAGTGATGATCCCCTCGCTCCGCCCAACTTCCGTAGTAACTGCCAGGGGCGGACTGGGTGGTCAGGGGCCCGGGTGGGAAATCTGGAAGGGGGGCCCGGTTTTGCCTACCTTTCAGGGGCAAACTATACGTAATAAAGCACACCAAGTTGTACATGTCCGACCTGTTTTACTTAAATATTTGATTTTCCAGCATGTCGCCGTACTAACAATACCAGCCACTTGTAGGAAAATTTCGCGAGCGGAGCGAGCGCGAAAATTTTTGAATAGTATAAGGGCGCTAAGAGGCGCTTACGTGTACCAAAAACACTGTAAAAGTACCAAGTGGGCAGGTTTCCTTCGGACGCGATTTAGGTGCATAGTGCTTTTGAAATACAATAAACAACGCGAGCGAAGCGAGCGTAAAAAAATCTGGTTATGCCCGAACCATTTCTATTAAGTTTTGATTTCTAAACTATTACAAGGCGCTTAAACCTAGGGCCCAGGCCGGGGCCCCTCCCTGGTCCCACGTTGCGCCTAGGACTTGGGCCCTTGGCTCGGTCCCTTCGTTCGAGCCCTTCGGGCCCGAGATGTCTGGGACCAAGCCAGGGCAGGGGGGCCTCGGCCCTTCTGGGCCCTCGGACCCTCTGCGCCTTCGGGTCCTATGGGCCCTCGGCGCCTCTAAGATTTCCGGGCCCTCCGGGCGCGCTGGGCCGAACCCCGGGCCGGAACCCTGGCCGGATCGGGCCCTTCGGGCCCGCGGTGCCCGAGGTCGGGTGCGGGGGGCCCAGGTGGGAATTCCCACCTCCCCACCCTGGCCAGTCCGCCACTGGTAACTGCTGTCTGCGTGCAAGAGGGCGGGCGGGTTTGCCGTTAGCCCATCGTCCTATTGCGCACCGAGGAGGCAACCCGACCACACACACCTGCATGCGGTACAGTCTAATTACGAAACGATCCGTGGACCACCCTATTGACTGTCCCTTGAATAAGATCATGCAAGAAAGTCTGGGTGCGAGTGATGAGGGAAAGTCGTGTAGAGGAAAAGGGAAAAGGTCACTGACAGAGCGCTTACAGCTTCATGCTGTGGAGTTGAATCCTATACATACCTACGACTCTTCCGCACGTAACACTCTGTGCCATGTGTATGGGGAAGTGGTAACGGGGGTGGTGGTGCTGATCCATGACTGCTGGCCTGGCCCGACCAGCCCGTCAGATTCCCATACCCTCAATAAGCCCTAACAAAACACCTGCTGGGTAGCAGGCGCCCGCGCTAAATTTCGTACACACTTAGTGAATATCCAAAAAAGTACGTCCGTCATTCGCCGTTCGCCTTTCGGAACCAAGGAACAACAAACCTGCAAAGTTCAGCCTGTGCCAGCTAGCATAGCGCCTGACCGGTAGACAACGTTTTGCTCGTTGTGCATGCGTGTCGTGTGTGGTGGCCTACCCCGAGTCTCGCAGGAGCCGAGCTGCCGTGATAATTTGCAGAATGATTGCGAGAAAACCAGTTGCTGCTTTGCGACAGGTTTGATGTCAAAACAATAAAAGCCAGTCGACTGTTTTCCAAAACTTCGGCCGACCCAATTCCAATCAGGACGCCTGCCTGCCAGCGGCGACGCCCACGCAGGGCTGACGGCAGCAGCTCCCGTGATCAGCGATCTGGTTTGCAAAAGCCGCCAAGCAAACGCAAACAGTTTTCTGCAAAGTCGTCGCCAGCGAAAATTGTAGAATGCGTCAATGAAGTCACACAGGGCAGATTTTCACATCTTTCTGCAGGCCAACTTCCGAACATGTGGAATAAGGTGATGATGCGATTTTATAGTTTTACTTGGAGCAATGTTGGTTGTTGCAATAGCAATGACTTTCGTAGTTTCTTTTATGTTTAAGGGAAGAGGTGGTGTAAATGAAGGAGTGGAATCACAATAAATGCATAAGTTTGGTAACAGTTGGTTTATTGACAACAACTGGTGGCGAGCGGCTGGAGAGATGGAAATGAGTCAATAGAACAATAATTTTTTTCCTAAATTTTGCGATGTTTTCTGGGTGTGTCAAGAAGGACCCTCCGGCCAACCGCCTTCCAAGCGCCTCAGTCATCGCAGGGGCACCTGCAGCCGCTGCTGCAAAAGAGATATTCTAAAATTAGTCGCTTCGAAAATGGAAAAAAAAGGAACTGGACGGGTTTGTCCGAAATTTTGTTAGAATTTTGAATGAATGAACGAGCAAAGAAATGAATTTGATGGATTGAAAGTATGAGCGACTGACATAATGAATGAGGTGCCGAATGAAATGATGGGCGACTTAATGAAATGTTCGAAATAATGAATGAAACATGTCCATCTCTCACATGCCATAACAGACAGCTTTTGATGAACAATCACAATGAGTGGAGTGACGAATGAAAAGGGTGCCAAAATGACATGACGAAACAGTTCATGGATGACATGAGTTGGACGAGATTGCACAAATAAATAATTTACTAAGGTAACAATAAATAGCAGGCACGCACACGTGGAGGCATTTGAGGAGTGAGGAATGCCCTGAACAACCCCAGCCCTAGCTACTGGCCTTCTCGTCACCCTCCCCGTCCCCCGCCGCCCTCTTGTCCGCCTTCTCCACGGCATCCACCTCCACCTCCTCCACGTCACCGCCGTTCAGCATCTCCTCCGGCAGGTCCTCCTGCATGTCTTCGGGCAGATCCTTCAGGTCCTCTGGCTTGATGGACCGCCCACCGCGGCAGCAGCAGCAGGGGTCGGCCCCGCAGGTCGCGCAGCCGGCGGACTGCTGCGAGTCCGTCAGAGCGCGGCTGATCTGATCGATCCAGTCCTTGACCCAGGACGTGGAGTCCGCCGAGGGCCTCGTGTCGGCGACCATGTCGCAGGAAGACCTGGCGGCGGGCTGGGGCTGCTCGCAGGGTGCGACGCGAACCATGGGCATCTGGCAGGGCGCTTCGCGGACCGCGGGCTGCTGACAAGGCGCGACGACCCGCATGGGGCTGCTTAGGATGGGGATCGGGATCATGATGGCCTGGGGCACGACGGGGTCGCTCCGCACCGGCGCGCACGCGTTCTCCGCCGCACGGGCCTGGTCGCGCGCCTCCTGCAGACACTTGACGATGTGGTCGACGTGCTCCGACCGGAGGCCCTTGCCGCAGACTGGGCACATTAAGGACGGCGAGCTGCTGCGGTCACAGGTGCACTGGTCGGAGCGCGCCGCGCCGCACTCGCAGGTGGACGTTGAGCTCCTGGCCGAGTCGCACTGGTTGCCGGAACGGGAGGACTCGCAGGCTGGCGGCGATAGGCATTGGCAGGGTGCTGGCAAAGCGCGGGCGGTCTCGCACGGACTGGCAGCCCTGGCGGTGCTGCTCTGGCAAGATGCAGCTGGCAGGTCACGGGCAGCTCCACATTGGCAGGTAGGCGCTGGTAGGTCCCGAGCAGCTCCACATTGGCAGGTTGGCGCTGGCAGGTCGCGAGCGGCTCCACATTGGCAGTTAGGCGCTGGCAGGTCACGGGCAGCTCCACATTGGCAGTTAGGCGCTGGCAGGTCACGGGCAGCTCCAGATTGGCAGTTAGACGCTGGCAGGTCACGGGAGGCTCCACATTGGCAGTTAGACGATGGCAGGTCACGAGCGGCTCCACATTGGCAGTTTGGCGCTGACAGGTCACGGGCAGCTCCACTTTCGCAGGGAGACGCTGGCAGGTCACGGGCAGCTCCAGATTGGCAGTTAGACGCTGGCAGGTCTCGGGCAGCTCCACATTGGCAGTTAGACGCTGGCAGGTCACGAGCATTTCCACATTGGCAGTTAGACGCTGGCATGTCACGAGCATTTCCACATTGACTGTCCCTGTTGATAGGAGCCAGGCCGGTGTCCATGTTGTGCACGAGGATGGTCCTCGCTCCGACGCTGGCGCTGTTGCAGGCGTGCTCCCTCTGGGCGGCGCGCGCCATGTCGTGGTGGCCGCGCCTTTGCTGCGCGCAGGAGGTCGACGGCATGGAGCGCTCGTCCGCCTCGTAGTCACCGCCGTCGTAGTCCTCGTAGTACTCGTACTCGTCGATGTAGTACTCGTCGCCCTCATCGGGCAGGCTGCGGCCCTCGTCGTAGCTCTCCTCGCAGTCGCACGAGCCGGCCCGGTTCTCTGGCATGATGCGCGCGCTGCCGCACGAGTCCGAGCCCCCCGAGGGCTGGTTCACGATCCTGGAGGACTCGGACGAGCCCCTGCGCCCGCTGCGTCGGCCGCTGTCTGAGGACTGCTGCTGCTGGCAGCCGCAGGACGAGCGCTGGCCGAGCAGGTCGCGGACCTGGCTCTCTGGGATGCGATAGGGTGCGATGATGAGGTGCGATTCGTCGGCGTCCCTGCCCGACGAAGACATGCATCCGCTCGGCCGCTGGCTGGGCCGCCCGCCAGGCCGCCCACTTGGCCGTCCACTAGGTCGCCCGCTGGGCCGGCCGCTGAGCCGCTGGCTGGAGCGGGACCTCTGCGGACAAGATGAGCTCTGCCGGCTGCGCGCGCCGCACCCGCCCTGCCCCTGGCCCTGGCCCTGCCCCCTTGTGCGAACCCTCCGCGACCCCCTCATACTGCCGCCACTACAACTGCCACTGTCCCTCGTCGAGGAGGATGACGACCCTTGCGGGCGCCAGATGGTGCACGAGCTGCCGAAAGTGCTGCCACCGGATGAGGCCCTCGACACAGAGTCCCGACCACAGCTGCAAGCACAAGGCGAACTTTGAGAGGACCCGGAGAAGTCCCTGGACTGGTCGTTATCGGGCTCTTCGTAGGTGTCGAGGTAGAAGCGCGTCGGGCCGTCGGCGCTGCGCCCGGAGCCCCCGCAGTCGTCGGCGAGGCGGACGGCCGTGATGACCCTGCTGCCCCCCGCGCGGCGCATGCTCTGCGAGTTGCACATGCGCTTGTTGAGCGCGGCCGCCTCATCGCCGGCCTCCGTGCCCGGGTCTTCCGCAGCGGGGTTGAGCGCCGCGTCCTCTTCCTCCGCGCTCGTGCCGACGTCGTCGGCGACCTCGCGTGGCACCTCCTCCGCGACGCCCGTCGTCTCCTCGGCCGCGACCTCCGCCTCCACCTCCCTCTCCACAGTGTCCTCTGACACCTCCTCCTTCTCCTCACCACCGTCCTCCGCTAACTTTTCCTTCTCCACCGCCACGACGTCCTCCTTCTCAGCGTCCTCCTTCACACCGCCGTCCACCCCGACGTCCTCCCCCACCACTACCTCCCCTTCCCCAACCTCCCCGTCCGTCACCTCCCTCCTAACGCGCTTGCCCTTCCCCCCCTCCTCCGGCTCCGAGTAGTACCTCCCGGCCCTGACCACGCTGGGCTCCTCCTTCTCCTGGCACTCCCCACTCCGTTCCTCGCTATCCTCCTCGTCGTCCTCCTCACTGCTCCGCCCCTCCCTGCCGACGATGCCCAGGGGCACGTACCTACTACCGCTGGCGGCGCTGCTGCTGCTGCTACCGCTGCTCACGCCGTAGTTGAAGGTCGCGGACGTCTTGGGGAGACCGAGCAGACCGACGGGGCTGACGCAGACGGGGCCGCTGGCGGGGACGGCCACGTAGCTGACCTCCTGGAGGGGGGCGGGCCCGTTGTTGGGGGGCAGGCAGGTGTCGACGTGGGGGAGGACGACGCGGTCGACCTGGGCCCTGAGGTTGGTCAGGCGGCTGCTGCCCTGCTCGACGGGCACCTCCACGCTGTAGGGCAGGTGGTTGTAGGACACGGAGGTCCTCTCACGCACGGGCACGGCGATCTGCACGTCCAGGTTCTGCAGTCTGTTCGAGAGGAATGTCGTAAGCATTGAGTCGGGAAAGCGAGCGGTAGGAAACTGAGATCAAGGGTCAAGGCGTTCAGCTGTAGTGGCAGCTGTTGCTGCTGCTGCTGCCGCTGCACCGGGTTCTATGGTCAGCGCCGACTTACTTCTGGCAGGGGGCGTTCTGCTCGACGGGAACCTCCACCTGGTAGGGCAGGGAGCTCAGGGAAATCTGGGGCCGCTGGCGGATGGGCACCTCCACGCTCACGCTGTGGTAGCTGGGCACGATGGGCTTGGACTGCTCGACGGGCACCTCGATGTCGTACGACAAGTGCTGCAAAGGAGGTTGATGGGTTTAGCGAGACACCAAAGAGAGCATGTATTCGCAAAGAGCGCTTATAACGACAGCGACAGGTTTTCATATTCAGTTAAAACTAGAGCCATCGGTAAACCGACTGGTGTGTTAACAAATGTCCTAAAATCCAACTGAAAATAGGCAATACACACACTAAAACTATTTTGTTGCTCTCAACTCGCCTATTTTTGAGTGAACCCCCTCTTCATATCAAAGATTTTCCAAAGAGTCTCATCACTGTTCTCACCTGGGCGCACTGGGGACGGCACTGGACGATTCCGACGGGCAGGGAAGCCTCATCGGGCATGCGGATCTCGCTGTACTGAAAGTCAGCCAACCAGACGGGGTCACAATATTAGCAAAGTTAATGACCGATCAAGAGTTATTGAAAAAGAGTGAAAACATGGCTGATGTAGTATTTGGAACAACAACAACAACAAGAGCAGCAACCAAATCTCAAAACCTATCTCTACTTACGCCGCATGAGTTGTCGCCAGTGTTGGAGTTGACGATGATGGCGTTGGTGGGGATGTTGGTCCAGGAGTTGTCGGCAGCGGCGGCTGCTGCGGATGCCGCGGACGACGAAGATCCGGCGTACTCGTCGGACTCTGAGGAGTCGTCAGCGTATGCGCTGCTCCTGGCAGAGCCGCAACTGCAGATGCAGGCGCCAGCGGAAAGCTGCGGACAGATGTGTCCATGAAGGCCACAGGCGACCACAGCACATTTTCCCATCAAAAACAATACACTTATTTTTCACAGATGTGTACACACTAATATCACGTTCACTTCACAAAACACTTTTTTTTTCATTTCACTGTCACTTCACTGGCTTTAATCACTACGCCCGAGTCGCACTGATTTCACACCGCGGTTATGCGCTACTATCACTGTCACAGTCACTCGCGAAGCCTACCTGGGCGCTCAACGCCACCAGGGCGACGGCCACGACAACGGTCTTGAGGTACGCCATCTCCGGTGCCTCGTGCGTGATGCAATGGAAATGTGAGGGCGTACGTCCGGGCTGCCGTCTTATATAGACACCTACTAACCCCGATCCACCCCTTCCCCGGACTACACACGGGCGCGCCGCGGCGCTCGCTGGGGAAGAGACCTTCACGGGGAGGAAACAACAAATACCGCCGGCCCCCAGCCCGGACCGAGACGGGGCGCCGTCGACGGGGAGGTGTAGGCGACCGGCAGCGCCCAACTCTAAACACGGCACGAGCATTGTCATGCCCCCCTCCCGCCTCCGGGACCCTCCCCTATCCCCCCCTCCTCCTCCTCCAGCCCTCGGGGAATGCCACAGCCCCATCGCAGACTCTGGACCGCGTGAAGCGTATAGCGTCCTGGAAACAGGCCCGCAATGCGATGACGCAAACGAGTCGCCATTTCCTGTCTTCACCTAGACGAAGAAAGTGAGTTTTGTCGCGTTGGAGGGTTTGGGTTTTTTCCCGTCCTTCTCAGAAATCCACATTGCGGAAATACAGATGTCGCCATTATCCTTGGCGAAAGATTGATATCGAGGTTCCGCCCCTCGCGATCACGCATCAAAACGCGGCGTAGGCGCCAGCCCCGCCGCGGGCCTCAGCGGAGTGCACTGCCCCGGCCGCTGGCGACACCTGCCGGCCGACGCGGAGAAGCTCGGCGAGGTGTGTGCGTCTCGGACTGCGGGCGCGACGCGTTCAAGGGCGTGGCGGGGCGGTGCATGGCCAGGCGCGGTATAAGGTCCGGCTGAAA